CCATGCCAGCGGTGGCAAAGATCCATGCCACATGAATAGCAACCCTTATATGATTGCTTTTGGTATTGTTGAAATCATTTTCTCTCAAATTCCTGGCTTTGATCAATTATGGTGGCTCTCCATTGTTGCTGCTGTCATGTCCTTCACTTACTCAACAATTGGACTAGGTCTTGGAATTGCTAAAGTAGCAGGTAATAACAGCTTCCTCAGAAACTTCAAATGCGTTTTAATCTTGAGATAATTTTTGGAAAATAAATTTGGTATAAGAAACTGATTTAAGGTGTTTTTGTTTGGTTAATTTATCAGAAACTGGAAAAGTTAGGGGAAGCCCAACCGGAATAAGTGTTGGAACCGTTACTCAAGCCCAGAAGATATGGAGGAGCTTCCAGGCACTTGGAGACATAGCTTTTGCCTATTCTTACTCCCTCATCCTCATTGAAATTCAGGTATTTAATTTCATTCTGTCAATCTAGTTAATCTAACACAAAATGACTTGTTAACTTGATAGGACCATAGAACTTGAACTTAACAATATGATATTTTTACAGGATACACTCAAGGCTCCACCATCAGAATCCAAGACAATGAAAAAGGCATCTTTGATAAGTGTTTCAGTGACAACCGTCTTCTACATGTTGTGTGGTTGCATGGGCTATGCTGCTTTTGGAGACTTGTCCCCTGGAAACCTTCTCACTGGTTTTGGATTCTATAACCCATTCTGGCTCCTTGACATTGCTAATGCTGCCATTGTAATTCACCTCGTCGGTCGTCCAAGTTTACTGCCAACCCCTTTTTGCCTTCATTGAGAAAAAAGCAGCAGAAAAGTTCCCAGATAGTGAGTTCATCACCAAAGATATCAAGATCTCTATCCCAGGCTTCCGCACCTACAATCTCAACCTCTTCCGATTGGTTTGGAGGACACTATTTGTGATCACAACAACTTTGATCTCTATGCTTCTTCCCTTCTTTAATGATATTGTCGGACTCCTTGGGGCTCTTGGATTCTGGCCCCTCACAGTTTACTTCCCAGTTGAGATGTACATTTCAAAGAAGAAGATACCAAAGTGGAGCACAAGATGGCTCTGCCTCCAAATCCTCAGCATTGCTTGCCTTATTATCACTATAGCCGCAGCTGCCGGTTCTATCGCAGGGGTTGTTCTTGATCTCCAGTCATATAAGCCCTTCTCGACCGGCTACTAGTTCAGTAGAATTGAACTGGTATCGCACTACTGGTGGACAGCTCAAAAAGCAAAGAAAACGAATCTTTAGGATTAAAAGAGGTTCATGTTCATGTTCATATCAAGCCTAAATTGTTGTTGTTAATTACCTCTACTCCTACGCAGTTTCTTTTGTTCTCTACTGTACAACTAAATGGGGGGCCATGTGTCACCATTTGAACTTGTAACTTTCCCTATCACTCAATGCAAAATGGAAAAGTTTGAGCAGGAGAAGTCCTATGCAGGCCACTGTATATTGAACTTTTATGGTGCAATTTAAAAATGTTACTCCGTGCCAAAATTGCTCTGTAACTAGTGGGAAATCCTCATTTCTTCTTTTGGAATGATTGAAACTTGAAAGGCAACTGCTGTTAAACTAAAACGGGCAAGGGAAACCTGTTTCCTGCAAAATGGCAACGCCATTAACACCAACACCATTGGAAGTGCCCATTTCTATTCAACACTGACACCCGCGTGTGTGCACACAGAGAGAAAGTCCATTCTGCGGAAAGGGTTGGAATGGAATTCATCAACCCAAGTCAAGTGATCGGATGGTGGGCAAGAATAAAAAGCAGAATTGGGGCCACACTTGTTTTATGATTGAGGATTAAAGAGATAGGTTCTTGTTACCAGTCAAGGCCAAAAGGATCAGATTTTGATTGCAGCTAATCCATAACTTTCAATGTCACTTTGAAGATTGATCCTCCCATGGTTGAAAGCAACAACTACCTATGAGCAACCGGCTGGACAGTTTAAACCCAGGGAAAGCCACAAATTTTGGTGTTGTAAAAACTAAACAGCTGGAGAAACTGTTTTGTTAACTAGGATTTTTTGATCCTATGATGCTATATTCAGGACACTAATTAAAGCAAACCGTTTAATGAAATTTTTATTATTCAGTTGACTTGTTAGTGATAATTATCTTCAAGGCAAAATAGCCACAGGACCAGTCTCTCATTTCGGACTCTAGTCCCCTATTTCTTCTCCGGTGATGACAAATATTTTACATTATTTAGAATAACCTTTGTCGTATGTATATGCCACTAATTAAGATTCCGATTGCTTAATAGTTTGGTTATTTGTTATTTATTATTTATCCTACTCATTTGATATAATATTTTTAAAAATTAGATAAATATTTATTCTTTTATTGTGAAAATTAAAATTTTTATTTTGAGTTAAATAGTTTATCAATTTATTAACTATTATTAGCCACAATGTCATTTATTATTTTATACCCTGCATGATGTTAGCTAGATTGTAAAAATTTCATATGTTTATATTATCATATCACATTCCTATTCATTATGACACTCTAATATATCATGTCACTATTATGTAACACAAAATAATAAGTGACATTTTGACTAATAATTAGTCAATTGTTAAATATAAAAATTAAAAATCTATTCAAGGGCAAAGGGAGAGGAGTGAGGGCGGCCACCTCTCAGTTTTTAATTTTTTTTATTTTTATGTATATAAAATTTAAAATATCTAACTTTGCCACCTCAAAACAAATTAATTGAATTGGTTTGGAATAGTGGTAAGAAATTTAAGTTAAATTTTAAAAGCTTAGGTTAAATTCTTACAATTTATTGATTTGATTTGATCACTTATGTAATATATCATACAGTCATTCATTGACATAAAAAACTAAAGAACGTTATTAAAATACTTAGAAAATTTCAATAAATTTATCTTACTTTTGTCAGATTAAATAGATATAATGTGAACTAGTCATGATTAATTCAAAAATTGATTTTTATTTCTAGAAAAGATCTTGAGAAGACAATGTTGATCTTCCGATTCTTGACACATCAACTATGAAAGTTCATTTAATATTAATTTTTTTTATTTTATGTCTATTTATATTGATGAATCTGAAAACCTATATTCAAATTGTTAATGAAATTTTATGTTATAATTTAATTTTGTTTCAAAAGTAATTAATTTTTTTACTCCGAATCGAATTATTGATCTAGTTCATGACTCAATTTATGATCTTGTATAATTACTCTTTAGCCGCTCTCATACAAAATCTTAGACTCGTCACTATGTCTATTTGATTTTAATAAAAATATAAAAATTTAATTAAATATAATAAAAAATAAAAAAATTTTAAAAAATTAAATATTTTAAGATTTTTTTATATATTAGCTCGAATCATTTTCTACTTTTTTTCCTTTTCCATTTTATTCTTTTTTAACAAAAAGTAAATAAATAATAATAATTAAATGAAGTCTAAATAATACCTCACTCAAATGAACCATTTGTTAATTTAAATTATGTTGAGAAATGTGGAATTTGGTTTTTATTGGTTGAGTAAATCAAAAGGCCAAGAATAAATGGTTGTCATTAATTTTGGTTCTTAAGTAGCAAAAGTTATCTCAGGTTCGTTCCACAAATTATTCCATACCAACCCTACCTATATTATTATATATTTATTGTTAATTACTACTTAGCAGTAGCCATTACAGCCGTAAGCAGTCTATGTAGAGTGCTACTTGGCTTTCTGCATTAACGGTTGCAGCACGTTTCTGATGCACGATGATTTAAGCGGCGGTAGCGAGGAGGAGGTAACCACCCCAGCCGCCAAGCGGAGGCTGGTGGACCCCTTGAAGAGTAAGTGGGTTGGGTTGGTAGTGGTCATCAGTGGGTCTTGTTGGGTGTCCTTCCCTCGTTTCCAAAGGTTTCTTTCTTTATCGCCTATTTAATTTCCTCCAGGCAATCATGGAGTTTTAGAGAAGAATCTCCAAGAATAGGGGGAGGGGGGGATTTCGGATCCTTTATTCTAGTATTTCGTATTTTATTTTCAAATGAAGTAATTATTTGTACAAGAAGTTAACAGACCATGATTGATTTTCAGAACCCAAATTATGATTTGATTGTTTTCTTTGCAAGATGGAATGGATTTAAGTCATGGATTTACTAGAAATCAACTGATGATTCGTTGTATGAAATTGGGAAATTTCAACATTCTAATTGAAGAAACAACCAAGAGATTTCACCCCCCCGGGCTATTTATTCCTTTAAGCTTTATATTGTCCATAGATATTGCCTTCCTGTCTCTTGGTTTCTTGGTTAATAATCATTGTGATGTGGGTTTTGCTGTTGATATGTTGTTCTGCCTCTTAACATTTTTAAATCAATCAAATCCGAGGTAAGACGTACATTCCTTGCAACCATAGCATCAATAAGTGCTGATTCCACGATTAAGGCAACTAATCAGGAAAAAGAACTATTACCATTATGAGTTTTTGATCCTGAATTTTTCACCTACTTTTAACATTTCAAGTGGCTTACAGCTCTGGTTTCCTGGTACAAGTGTTGGGTTCAGTTCACCCAAGAACTCTTTCAAATCGAAGCATTCCATGTAATACTTCCTAATAGGCTAACACCAATGAATATTAACCATACTAAACACCACAGACTCTAACCTTTCAACAGCTTTGATCCCATTGTACAAGCAAGAAAAGCTTTCATAGTTACGCATTCGATCCTCTCCTTCCCCCGCATAGCTGAAGCGCTTTATCTAAATATTGAACTCTTGCTTGGTTTACCAGAAAATAATATTCATTTAACTTTTTGTTGATTTTCATTTACTTGTGCAACTGACCTCCAACAGCCTCAACCTAGTTCAATTTAATTAGTCCTATCAAGCTGATTTGATGCAAGAAATAGTAGCCAATGAGTATGGTCAAATGACAAAACTATGCCTTGGACCTCTGCTATAATTGGCAGGCATCACCATTCAATTTATATTCCACAACGATAATAATAAGGTAGCATTAAAATGGGACAGCATTAACTTTATTCAACAAATTGAAGGCTCACAGAAAAAATAATTACTGATACAATTAATCTGAAATTACAAGAAAGGCAGCTTGTGTGCTTGCATACAGAAAAACAATCAATGAAACTAATGAAGTGGAATCAAAACCACTCAAGCCCAACAAACATGAACAAGAGAAGAACAATCTATAGCTTCAATAAAACATGCCATGGTGCAGATTCGATAAACATCGTGAAATCTACTCACTTCCTGAAGATACATAAATTTACAGTCATACATGAGAAAATTTACTCCTTACAAAGCGCCTCTTAGCTTTCAATTATAGAATTTTGCTCACCAGCAATGTGCTGCTTGGACGGTGTCATCTTCCTAAAACCATAACACATTCTTGCATCTTTTGTTGTGAAACAAATCTGCATGAGTGCCAAAATAAAATGGCTTCATTCTTCAAATGAGTTTCGTTCCAGTTTTTAAGAAAGTTCTTCCTTGTTGAACTTGTTCCAAGCTTCCTATTTCAATGCAAACAAAATAAGATATGAAAAACACAAGAGCCATTGTCAATCAACAATAGTTGTATATAGAACTAGATAAAAGAAGGATAACTATAGTTTGTATGACAATGATTATAAAATCAGCAAACTATAAAGGTGACCAAAATAAACATGATAGAGAAAGAAAAATGAAGTGAGATAAAAGAAGTCCAGTTTGACCATTGAACCCTCCCTAATGAATGCAAAAAGTCCAAAATCACAAAATTTCTAAAGGACAAAAAGCAAATGTCAAGCATACAATGCCCAATTAATAGTTCATTTCAGAGTCTTGGAAGAAAACAAAAAAAATTATAAGCTTATTCCATGGGGAGGAAAGGAAAAGAAACTATAAACGTTTCCACTCTATTTGGTAGGAAGGAAGAAAACAGACAGAAGAGAAAAAGATGAAGAAAGAAAAGGAAAAGGAGACTTAGGAGAGGAAAGATAGTTCTTTTTTCTTCCTCATGTTTGCGTTAAGGATGGAAAATAGAACCAAAGAGAGAGATTAGAGGTAAAATTATAAGTAAAATGGTTCTCCCACTTTTGGGAGGAGTGGATTTGGAAGGAGGAAAAAGTGCAAATCCGTCAATTTTCCTTCCCTCTTCCCATTCCCCTCCTACCAAATGAAGAAAAGGATAGAGAGAAGAAGCATTTTCCATCCACTCCTTTTGTTTCGACTTTCCCTCCTACCAAACACAATGTAAAAAAGCAAAAAAGAAAAGGATATCTGGCACACACATTTGGTTAATACCAGAAAAGATAGCAAACAATCACAGCATGTTTGGTTGGAGGGAAAGGCTATTCTTTTTTCCTCCTTCATTATTTTGTTTGGTTCACAGAATGATGATTCCGAGAGAGGTTGAAATAGCTATTACCAACCTCCCCCTCGACAATAGTTATTCTGCACAGGCTGGATGGGCTACAAAAATGCCCTTGACTATTTTGTGAAATTACTATCCTATATATAAAAACCTTTCATTTTCTCTTTTTCTTCTCTCACTAGCTCATCCACCTCTCTCTTCTGTCTAAATTTCCTCCACCGCCGCCATCCTCTAGCTGCAATGGCTAACCGACACCACCAATGGCCAAATATGGCCACGAGAAGCGCCAATCTAGCACTCTAGCGGCCTGATCTGGCATACCATTGTGCTGGCCACATTTCTGATAGTCCACCGGCAAGAAAGGAAAGAAAAGAGGAAAAAGAGAATGAAAAAAAAAGAAAATAGAGATAAAAAATAAAAAATTATATCAAAATTTTAATTATAAATTAAAAAAATTCATATTTCAAATTAAAAATCATATTAAAGTGTTAATTATAAATTATTAATATTTTAAATAAAGTAAAATTTTTTATTATTTTAATATTTTAAAAATGAAAAGAAAAATTTAAATTTAATTAATATTTTATTAATATTTTAAATAAATTAAAAAATTAATATTCTAAATTAAAAATCATATGTTATAATAAAAGGTATTTTCATCTTATCACCTATTCTTTTTATTATTCCATAACTACTTTATTAACCAAACATTGAAAATAATGTCAGGATGACAATTCCATTTTATAAACCAAACTACATAATAAATGTTCTTGCCTTAATCTATTCCCATGAAATAATTATTCCATTTCATGAACCAAATGTGCTGTGAAAGCTTTATAATTTTATCAAATGCAAAATTAAAGGAGAACCGTTTAGGCCTTTTATTTTATTAGGATTAATTTATTCAAGGTTATATTTGGTATTTTATGTCTTGTTAGGATTTTGCATTTAGTTGTAAATACCCATGTTATGTTAGTTTTAATTAGGTTTTGGATTATTACATATTGATTGAGATTTTAAGATATTGCTTATTGAGATTTCCTCCCCCTATTGATTCCTCCAGTTTTCTCCCCTGATTTCCTCTGTTTCTTCCCCATTTTGCTTCTGTCTATTTCTTATATTCCCTCTACTCTTTCCCCTACTTGTTCAACACAAAAATACTCAACAGTTATTTGTTTTTAACTATATGAAACAAAAGAAGATGAATGGTTGTCATAGAAAAGCTGAAAAACGGAAGAACAGAAGTAGCACAAAACCTTAGGCAGATGTGAAGAAAAATAGGAATGCCTACGAAACTTGGAGTTGACACGTATGCTTGTATATAATAAACCCATTAAAACAGTAAAAAAGAAGGCCATACCCAGGGCAGAGAACCTCGGGGGCTTGACACATATGCGGGTATATAATAAACATATTAAAACAGGAAAAATAAAAGGCCATACCCAGGGCAGAGAACCTTATAACTCCCCTGCCCCACTTCCATGTCAAGGACTACCATCTACTACCAAGTACCATCCCTAACTGATCCCTGATTTTCAAAATGAAAAATCCATCCCAAAGGAATAAGTTTACTCAAAGACCCATCACTATGGTTAAGTACTGGGTAGATTTTACATTCCTAGACACACCACACAAACATCAGATTTTTGAACTTGGTCTCCCAAATCCTTCAAAGAGGACCAACATGATTTGTGCATTGAGGCTATGACTCATGCTAAACTAAATGATTATGGTAGTGAAATTCATACAGTACCTTGAGAATATCAAACACCTTTTCAGCAATATATTTCTGTTCAAGAGTGGCACCTTTCTGCTGAACCTTATCAGGATGGACACATAATGTGGCCTTTCTATAAACTTTTTTAACAGAGCCAGAAGTTATTAAATCAGTCAGCGAAATTGGCTCCCAACCACATTCAGGCCAAAGTACCTGTTTGTCACAGTAAAAGGTTAGTTATGAAAACCAAGAAGCCACAAATTTTATACATTTAATAATGATTTCAAAATATTAAAATGATAATTTCTTATTAGGAGGTAAATGCAGAGCATAGGAAATGATGAGAACACACCTGTTGCAATGATGATAAAAGTGCACGCATATTGCCTTCCTTTCCTGCAGCCCAGCGTTTTATCTCAAAATCTATAGCTTCAGCAATCCTCTATGAAAATTAAGATTAAAGCAAACTATTAAGTCATCAAAATAAGGAATTCATGATATATAGGAAATATAGTGCCAAAGCAAGTAAAGTGCACACGAGCATGAAGAATTAAAACCCCCAACTGCTAATATACAAAATTGAACTACTTACACGTCTCTCTTCTTGCTCATGCTGTGTTTGACGGTCACGCTGGGTCATATCAGCAACTGCTCTTGCCTAGCACAAAAACAATCCAGAACTGTTGAACTATGTCTTCAAACAAAAAATATATATAATCTAAATTTTTTAAAAAAATGAGAAGGATAGAACAATAGAGGTTCCAACAGAAGAGTTTGCCAGACATTTTTGCCAGCACATGCAGCATATCTGAATCAAAATGACACAGGTAAGTCTCACCACAGGCCCAAAAGGGTCACTTATTCAGTTGGTAAGAAGTTTGAGTACCATGGTGGTCCAATATAGACGAGTATCAAGCTCAAAATGGCCAAAACAGTATAACATGAATGTAGCAACAAATGTCCAGGAAACACATCTTTTATCTCATTTTATGATTACTAAAACTGCTTTAGTCATAAGTCCATGGAAGAGAAAGATCCTTGGCATTCTTCGATCTTTCCTGGAAAATTAGAGTTGTACCCAGTTGGCACCACCTTAGTGCCCTTAATTTGTTCAGTCTTCACTTGTGTGCGTATATGTGAGTTTGAGAAAAAGACATACACATCAATGTTGACTCCCATATGTGCTTCTCTTCTCATCAGCACATATCTTCTTATACCTCGACTAGTTTAATTTAAGCCTATCCATGAAAAAAATAAAAATAAGCCAAATTTAAGGTAAGAATATATACACACCACTCGATCCTGGGTCCTTTGGTGACGTCCCAATCTGGCTCTTCGTCTTTCTTCACTTTCACCATCAACTTCCTCAAATTCTCCAAACATTGGGGCAGCTTTTGGGAACAAAAATTATGAAAGAGATTAACATCAAAGAGATACAGTGCAAAGATAATTTACAGAGCTGGACACAATCCATTTCAATATTTCAGCAATAATATACCTCCAAAAATTGAAGAAAAGTCATCTACTCCATTCATCATAGTAGCAGGAGAAGCCTTCTTTGCAGTGGATGATGCCCCTGCAGATGTCTTTTGCTGTCTCTGGTGTGCATTTGCATCAAACATGGGATCCTGATAAGCATAACAGAAAGAATCAATAACAATAGCAGTTGTTGGAAATGTGGTATTACTTTTTACATCTATAGTGCTCACCAAAGTTGTTGCCCTTGACTTTGGTGCACTACTTGATCTGGAACTCACACCAAAAAAGGATTCCAGATCATCTGCTCTCTTCTCTTGACTCTTTCTTGTAGCATCTTCAGCTTCTTTAGATCTACTAGCCTTATTAGACACCCTGCCCATGGCAAAGTCCTCAAGTTCGTCTATAGGAGATGCACCTGAACTATTTACTGCATCATGAATCATCTCAATGTTACTAAGGTAATGATGGAATGGCAAAGAAAAATGCACATTGAGCTTTATTTTTGTTAATGGATGCGGAAGAACCTTTATCTGCCTTCAAAACTTGTGCTGGTTTTGGAGGGGGCCTCAATGATCGGGAAGCATTTGAGGAACCAAGAGGTTTCGTCCCTCCAGATTGATTGAGCATGCTGAATTCTTCTAGTGGATCTGTGGGGGTTTCTGAGGAATCATATGCCGAGCTTGAAACTGACTCTAAGACTATGAAAGGGTCCTCTGTTGATTTGAAGGTTGATTTGGTGGTCTTAATGTTCGTCCTGCAAGGCAAAGAATGAATTTTCAAATAAAGATTCCATGTTTTACATACTAACAACTAATCATATAGAAGTTACTATGTCACAACATCCTAATGCAAATATGTACATTTAATGTGCAATAAAAAGCCAAGTTATTGTTGAAAACAAATGCTAAAGAAAACACTCAGAAGATAATAACTTCAATATGACAATATCCTTTCCTTCCTCACTTGGACCACTAACTCACCAAATTACCACTGCAATAGTTCCTATGAATGTATGGCAAGTTAAAGATTGCAGGACACAAGTGGCAGCAGTTTTAAGTTTTGGAAGCCAAATATACAAAATTCATAGTGATGACAGTATTTTTAACTTCACTAAAGAAGTAAAGCCTTTTGATCATCATGCGATTCCATAATTATAATTATAAGCCCTTTCCCCTGTCCATTTCAATAAAGTAAGCCTCATCCCCAACTGCCCATCAAAGCAGCATGTAAGCTGGATTCAGTTACAATTTTGGAAATTTAAACATTGTCAAGCAGTAATTATGACTGGTACAATTGATAAAGACAGGCTCCAACCACCAAAAACAATGGTTGATTAGCATTGTTAATTCTCAAACGATTATTCCAGTTGCCCAGTCAATTAACTTAGCCTGCCCTCAATACTTCGTTAAACTATAAATTTTTCAGATATGAGAGGAATAACACTTGACAAGAAAATGTCACAACAAGGCAGTGCTCAAATCTTTCACTTGATGCTTTATGGATAGAGCAGAGTAACCTTTCATGCATCCAAATTTGGATCAGAACAAAATATTATTACTAAACATATATTATAGCAGAATGAAAGAAATAGTTCTGTACATCAGAGTTTTATGTCACCAAATATTTATCTCATCATAAAGAACATCTACAGACAGCCAGAAATTGTCCATGCTTTGTGACATCACACATTCTTAAAGACTTTAGAGCCACTTCATCCAAACTAATCCCCAAACCCAAAAAATTCACATCAGAAAAAGAAACCCTCAAAATTATGAAAAGAACTGTTATCCCACATTCTATCAATGCACGATATTTTAACTCAATTAAATGTCATTATTATGATCTCCCTTTCGCCAACTGACAAATTATAGACGGAGTCGAACAACAAACAAATCAGCTAAAACTTTGACAATCAAATTTAATAAAGCCAACACTATCAGGCGGTAAATTATATCCATTTTCAATAAATATTAATACCTATTAAACGGAGGACTGGCTCCACCGATCCCGGGTATCAAATCATCAAAACCAGCTTCAGTTTTTCCCGAATCCCACGAATTATTCCTACTAGAACTCTTCAATTTCGCCGCGACACCACTAAAATCACCCAACAAGTCACCTGCTGAACCCTTTTGCTTCGTGGACGAGGCAAAAGACCCGATAATGTCATCATTACTTGCATTTCCTGAGCCAGGCATTCCTCCAAACAAATCATCAACAACGTACAAATTCGTAGAGGAAGACTTTGGACCCGAATTAAACAACATTGAATCCAAATCAAATGAAGATCCATTACTACTATTATTACTCGTATTCGATTGCTTCTTTGTGGTGTTTTCGAATGCACCAAACGCGTAACCATAATCGTCGCCCAACCCAAAAGAATTTTGGGGTTTTTGGTTGGAAAAAAGGTCGTTATCATCAAGCAAAGAGCCGTTACTGGGACTCGAATTCCATGAAGATTTTGCAGAAAATGGCATGGAGCTTCCGTTCAAACCTGTATCGAACCCGAAATTTTGGTTGGTGGACGCGGGGGCCGTGGCGGTGGGTCGTTTGGCTTGCGACATTGGAGCTGATTTTCCTTGCGGTTTTAAACCGTAACGCTCCGTTAAAACGCCAAATTGGTCCATAGTTTTCACTCTCTTTTTACCAAAAGGAAAACAAAGTGGATCGGTTCCTTAAGTAAATCAACTATATGGGTGTTCTCTAAAAATGAATTCCGATAGATCTAAGATGAAAAGTAATCTAAAATGGTAAAATTAATATTAACAAGAGATGTGAATTCGAATTGGGAGCTTATATAATGAGATTTTTTTTTTCTTGGAGTGAAAAATTTTGAGCTGGGAGAGATAGAAATGAGAAGGGGTAGAATGAAAATATGGATATGGTGAAGGAAAAAAATGGCGGGAATTGGCTGATGAAGGAAATCTGAGAGAGGAAAATTTGCGGAAGGAGGAATTGCTGAAATGGAAGAGAAAATTTCGTGGGAGAAGAAGACCAGGAGAGAAGAGAAGTCTTTTCTCTCTGATTCTTCTCTCTCTGCTCCTGGGCGTGTTGTGAGGGATGGTTTTCGAGTCGGTGGGACGGCCAATTGTGGAGCCCACACTCACCGGGTGAGTGGTGGCCCATCATATCAGCCCTTTTCTTTATTATTTAGTAATGACTACCACTATTTCTCTATCTCTTCTCCTTTTTCCAAATTTATCAAAAAAAAAAAGAATATTAGTAAAACTTAATCAAATGCTAATAACAATAACAAGCCTGATATTAAGATTCTTTTTAATATTTAATCCTAATAATAGTAACTCATGTGGATTTTAGCTATTTAAATCAGTTTGGTTTCTCACTTTTCTTAATTTAAATCTTATTCTTAATTTATTTAGTTAAATTTAATTTAATTAGTGTGACAAATAAAAAATTAATAAAAAAATAAAAATTCCATTCGATTTGGTTCAAGTAGAATAATTTCAATTTTTTGTTTCTGAATAAAATTAAGAATGAAACTAAATATTTAATTTCAACATCAAAATTAATCAAACATTACTGTTGGAATCGGTTTTAAAATTTCAATTTGTCCTATATTTGTTGAATTGTGTCTAAGCAGACATGACATAAGAAAGTGTAAATAAATCAAAGATAGACAATAATTATTTTTTGGGTTATTTTTATGTAGTTACAAAATGATAAATCACTTGCTTTAATGTTGTTCATAAATTTAAAACTACTTAATTTTCTCTAAAAAATGCTTAAATTTGTTGCCTCAAAGTTAGTACTTGTCTTTCCTCACTTAATGCCAAAGTTTTGGTCCCTATTAACATGTTTGATAGGGTTAAGTTAGATTATGAATAGAAAAGAAACTTGAGATAGTGGTTGTATAACTTTCATATTTATTTAAATATCTTCTATTTGCTTTTAGTAGATAAAAGATAAAGTGTCATAGATTTTACATTAATAAGAGATGGAGTGAGTTTTGAAAATATAAATATAAGCTTTTTACTATTTATCAGACATAATTTTTAGGTTAAAAATATAAATTTATGATTTCCTCTATGGATAAAGAGCAACCAATGTAACAAAGGTATTTTAAAATGTCTACTCAGTGTAACGAGGGTGTAATGTCTATCCACTGTAACAAGAGTATTGTGGAATGTCACAAATGAGTATCGATACATTGAAAGTTGTTGTGGAATGTCATAGATGGGTAAAATGCCAATGTAATAAAAGTATTGTAAAATGTCAGTAAAGAGCCAGTGTAACGAAAGTATTACAAAACTGGATAAGAAAAAATATCCTAGATCTTACATCAATAAGAAATGAAGTAGGTCTTGAAAATATAAATATGAACTTTTTCATAAATCGCACGTTAGTAAGAAATAAAGTAAATATTAAAAATATAAACATAGATATTTCACCATTTATCAGATATATCTTTTTAAATTGAGAATTTATAAATTTACTTAAACTTTATTTTTATAATTTAAAGACATACCAGATTAGATTCTGATCAGTGACACATGGTGTATATTCTGTCCTTTGAAAATATTTCAATAGAATCACATTAAATGAAAAACAAAAGAAAACAAAAATTATAGAAATATTTTGAAAAAAAAAAGAGAAAACAATGGTCCACAAGTCTTAAATTTTATGATGGAGGCAGCTATGACGGGTGCCAGGACCCTGCATGATTGTCGGCGGTGATTCTCTGGACACGTTACATTTAAATCATGCCTTGCACACTATTGTTGCTGCTAAATTTCCGAAACTTTTCATTTTGTTACTGTTAAATTATCATTTCTGTCTTTCTTAAGGGGGAAAAATAATGGTGGCAACCTAAATTAGGAGTTTTAGTTCAAGCACAATCTCTCAAATTGAATTATAATTTTATTTTTAATATAATATTTTAAAATTTTAAAATTATGTATAAAATTTATATATTTTTATTTTTTATTAAATAAGTTTTTATACTTAATCATTGATTAACTATCATTAATCAAAATATCATTTATCATGTTATATCCATATAATATTAACATAAAAAGTGAAAACTATCATATAACTATATTATTATATTATATCAATATGTAAGTTTTAAATAATGATAATTAATTAATTATTAATTATATAAATTTATTTAATTTAAAATAAAAATATAAAATTAAACATAATAAAAAATAAATGTTTTGGGAATTTTTTAAATAATTAATTAATTTTTAGATATTATGTCTTATTTTTCAATGAAGAAAAGCAAAAGAGTAGGATTCTTTGTTTCTCGTGTGGTGACAGACCATGCCAGCAGCTTTTGCAATGGAGATCTCGTGGGCTAAGAGCTTAGCAAATTCATTTACTCTATTTAATGTATATATACATATAAGTCAAAGTCGGAAACAATTAATAAGTTGCAGAATTAGCAAAGATTTAAATTTAACAGACTTGAAGACAACTAGTATATAGTAGTTGGAATGAGTTATTAGGGATTAAGCTGTACTTTTTCATGGGATTATTTGATCTCTAATGGTAGTATATAAAATAATAATTTTATTGTTAATTGAGTTTTTAGTCTACTTTTTCTTTTCTGACAATATTATTTGATTTTTTTTAATTGAAACTTTTGTACGTTCATTATGTATATACTACCTTAAAATCCCATTGGATTGAAACATAAAACAAAGTAATTAGTATAGGAAACATGGTGGAGACAAGTGCTGATTGTACTCATAATGGAGCTAAGCTGCGATCCTGCCTGGATCTTGCCATGATTGTCGGCTTTGGCCGAAATTAGACGCAGTGAATCTATGAAAATTGGAAGAAGAATGGTTTGTTCTTTTTCTTTATTTATTGGTCTTTGGGCACTGGCAGCGTGAAAAGACTGAACTTTTGGTAATTTTGTCAAAATATAATTTATCTTTCTTAAGAATAACAAGTTGGGCAGCCTAAGAGTTGGACTTTACTACGTTCCAGCAGAATCTCTGAACTTTTAAAATTATGATTTCTTTTTTCTCGGTCTCACACGCTAGCGGGCTAACAGGCAATAGCTCAACCCAGCAGCTTTGCAAGGGAGACCAGGATTTTCTCTGCTTTTAAAGGGCACATGACCTGGAGCACTAGGCCCGTGAGCCAAGGGTTAGGGCTCGCGTCTCAACTGTCATGAATTTCTTGAAACAAGATTGACCCATGCGTGTGAATAACACCTAACCCGGTTTGAGTAATTTGACCACCAAACAACGTATCAAACTCTTAAGCTGGGAAAAACGCAAAAACGTGCACTTTGACCAGCGGCAGCCAAAATTGATACTTCACTGCTTAATAACCAAGCTTTGTGAGAACAGGTCCAACATGTCCCAACGCCATTGTTTTAGATAAGATATCACATAGGAATTCGACATGGGAAACTCTCTTTTCTTCTCCTCCCTTCTCTTCCTCTTTTGCTCCACCGGTTTTTGCATCGATTCAAACATTTCTTCATGCCCAATCGATCTCAGTTACGTAGAAACCTTCCCATGGGATAAATCCACATGCCTCGACCCTGATGGAACGCAGTGCTGCCAAGCGCTCATCAGTCTCTTTGGCATAGGAATTGCTCAGCACCTTAAGGAGACATCCTTGTTTCAGTTACCGAACGCAGTGGCTGCAGCTTCTTGCGTGTCTGATTTTCAGAACAAGCTTGCTGCCTTGACAATACGGCCATCTTTAGTCACTTCTTGCATACACAACTCCACCCAGTTTGTTAGCAACGCTTCGAGTTGTGCAGGAATTATAACAATCCAAGATTGGATTGAAAAGGTTGGTCCGGTGACTGTATTAGACACTGCTTGCAGAGGTGACGTGACCGGGTTAAAGTGTAGGTCCTGTATTGAAGCTGGATACAGTGTGCTTTCCACATTATTGAGTCTTGATCCAAATGCCACAAAATGTTTTGACTTCACGGTCGTGTATGCTATAGGTGTGATCAATGAGTTCGGTCCAAAGGATCCTGGCGCAGCTGATTGCATTCTAGGCTTACCCTTGGATAGTTCAACAACAGACAAGGCAAAGAAAAAATCAAGCAGCGAAACCTTGCTCAAACTGGTTTTTGGTTTCCTGGGCGCTTTCTTTGGTGTTTTGCTTGCCTTTACACTAATCATCTTGTACAGGAAATGGGATAAGAGGAACAAGAGAAATGCTCCACATAGAAGATTCGTTAACACTTTCAGGGCAAACGTGTTACCAAACTCAGGTGCCAAGTGGTTTGGTTTATCAGAGCTCGAACGAGCCACTAACGGATTTTCTCAAAGGAATTTGATAGGCCAAGGTACATATGGAGTTGTGTACAAAGGAACTCTTGCAGATGGTACTTTGGTTGCAGTGAAACAGATTCTTGATTTGGACTCAAAAGGCGATGAAGAGTTTTCCAATGAAGTTGAGATCATAAGCAAAATAAGGCACAGAAACCTTCTTTCTCTTCGTGGTTGTTGTGTCACAAGCGACATGGTGAAAGGTAGAAGAAGATATCTTGTTTATGATTTCATGTCAAATGGCAATCTTGGTGATCATTTGTTCAATGATTTTAGTAGGCAGCGATTGAGTTGGCCTCAACGCAAGAATATAATTCTTGATGTGGCTAGAGGTCTGGCTTACTTGCACTATGGAATTAAACCAGCCATCTATCATCGAGACATTAAGGCCACTAACATACTTCTAGACTCAGAAATGAAAGCAAAAGTTGCCGATTTCGGATTAGCAAAGCAGAGTTTAGAAGGGCAGTCTCATCTCACCACCAGGGTTGCTGGCACACATGGTTATTTGGCACCAGAGTACGCTCTCTACGGACAATTAACAGAGAAAAGTGATGTTTACAGCTTTGGGATTGTGATTCTTGAAATTATGAGTGGGAGGAAAGTACTTGATACATCAAATTCATCCTATCTGTTGATCACGGATTGGGCCTGGAAGCTTGCAAAATCAGGCAATGAGCAAGAAATTTTCGATGAATCGATAAGAGAGCAAGGGCCCAAAGGGGTGATGGAGAGGTTTGTTCGGGTGGGGATTCTTTGTGCTCATGTCATGGTGGCTTTCAGGCCAAAAATCGCTGAAGCTCTGAAGATGTTAGAGGGTGATACTGACATTCCCAATTTACCAGACAGGCCATTGCCACTTAGTCATGAGTCCTTTAAATCATCTTTGGGGAGTGGTGCATCAAGAAGTACTACATCAAGAACTAGCTTAAACATGTCCCTAGTATAGATTATTTCTATCCTTGTGGCTAGGTTTGGAAAAGCTTCCGCACCAGCCAGCCACCATATATAGTTCTTGGATTCATGGTAAGCCTTTTTTTTCCTTATCTTTTCCTCTCTCTTATACATCTAGGCACCCTACTGGTCATTGATCCCAAAATCGAGTGATTAGAAATTAGGATACAACGTGAAAAGTATAAAGAGTTGCACAACATATAGTCAAGTTAATTAACTAATCTTGTAAGCTTTCATTCTTTTCTATGTATCTTGGTCATACATGTTTAACCAGACAAGTCATTACCTAGAATTATTCAATTCAAACTTTCAAAGATTGTTTTGTTTGGAATGAAAATCTTCTGCCCTATTTTATAAATTAACTGATGGGTTAATCTGCTCTAGTCACTCCTGTTAGAGTCAGCGTCTTTAAATGAATAAGAATGCTAGTGTCTTCCCTTTCTCTAATGCCTATCAAGATTTGACTACTAAAAGAGCTTATTCTAGAATAATTTCCGCCAGCTTTTCTTCTTCTTCTTCAACTTTTTATTACCATCATCAGAATATACATGAACAGCAAAAAAAAAAAAAAAAACTTCATGTAAATGTGTTCCTTGACTTTGATGGAAGATTTGATGAGAGAAGTGTGGAAAAAAGGTTGATGTTAACTAAGATTGAAGTTATACCTAAAGCAGTACAAATGACCTAACAGGTGACGTCAACAAATAAAAAATCATACACGTGGGATCAAATTATAGGAGGGACACTAAACGGGGAACAAAACAGGGGATGCTTTGTGTCTGTTTTGTTTGTGATGGGGAACTCTATTATTTACCAGACATGTTTTTTTTTTAAAGTATTTAGACTGCAATTTTTATTTTTTATATGAAAAAAAAAATTAATTTTAATTTTCTAAATAAATTTATATGTATGAATTATTGAATTAAATATTCAAATTATCGGATAAAGACGAGGATGAGAATGTCTCTTAAGCGTAATATTGTGTTGATTTCAACTAACCATGGGTCTTCTAGAGTAATTAACAGTTAATTACACGTGCTTTTGGTGCAATGGTTTGACGATAATTTTTTATGAAATACCTTTCTTGTTTTGACGAGAGTGAGTAGTTAGTTGTATATGCACAAGTTACACGGGTTGATAATCAATTGAAAAGGGGAATATAATTCAAGTAAAAAGAAATGGCCTATTCAACAGTTATTCCATTATTATTCACAGTATTCCATTATCCTTAAATAACATGTTTTCTTTCTTTTCTTAATGAATAGTCCCTATCTCTGATCCCAAAAGGCATAATAGAGTTAATTGACATCCGGTCCAATTTACATATTTGACAAAATAAAAATCTAATTATATTTGAATTGATGTTTGATTATAATAATTTACACTTTTTAATTGAATATGATTTAATTTATTTGATATTTTAAATATGAACTAATTTTGTTATACAATGAATTTAATAAAATTATAACAGATAAATTTAGCAGTTAAAATCTTAAACACAATATTAAAAAAAAAACTCTTGAATTATTTAAAAAGTTTAAATAAATTTATACGATTTTATTACGTTCAATTAAACTCTTATATTTTTATTTTGAGTCAAATAAATCTTTATAACAATCGATTAACTAATTATTATTAATTAAAATGTCACTTATCATTTTATAGTATTTGGTACTAAGACAACATACTGACACATCAAAATTAATAATAACATGATATGTTGACGTAATATAATTATATAATCATGTGATATTTTTCACTTTTGATATAAGTTTTATATCACTATGATATGAATACAAAATAATAAGTTATATTTTGACTAATTTAGTTATAATTACCTATTTATTCAAAATAAATATACATGACTTTAATTGAATGTAATAGAAACATAAAAACTTATTCAATTTTTTTAAAATATTTTGTCAAATTACAATTACCTATGTGATTTCCAAACTATATTTAATGGTGTTTGGTCCAACCTGTGAAAGTATTTTTTATTGCAAATGTAAAAATAAGGTGTTTTCTTTTTTAAATTATGATTTATGCAGAAGTTCATTTGAGTTTTTAGACAAAGTTACAAATCAAAACTTATTATATGTAATAATAAATATTTTAAGTTCTTTATATTCTCAGTTTATTTTCTAATAATTCATAATATTATATAAGAGAATTAATAAATTTTTCATATTCATATTTTTATTTGATTCATTGTGATTTATTTATTATTTTAATAAATAAAAAATATTTTTTATCTATTTCTAAAATTTGGATAATTTTGTTTAATAAAGTACTTGAGTTCTTTTTATTTCTTATATATATATATATATATATATATATATATTACATTTTTCAGTACTTGTACATTAAAAAAATATTTTAACTTTTTTACATCATTTTTAGAATAATTCTAAAATATATTAAAATATATTTGTCAAAATTACTAACCATATTAATAGTAGAGCTGTCCTATTAACTTTTGAGAATAATTATATTTTAATATATTTACGATTTATTATTTTACACATAAAAATTGAATTTCTAAACTTCTTAAACAGGTTAAATCACTACTTTATGTTCGTTTATAATTATTTAATTATTAATTTTCCTTTTTATTTATATTTTTACTAAATTTCGTTGATTTTTTTTTTTGTATTTCATGTACTTTGTATATTGTCTTTGATTAATAAATATTTAATTTCTGGCTGAGAATTGGGCTTGATTGAAGTTCTATTTATTTAATTTCACCTGCAAGTGTTTAGAAGTTTTATTACCAGATATACGGCGCCGTTTTTTTTTTTTTATCCTAAAATTTAGAACCTGAGAACCTCTCTCCTTCACTCCCCTCCTACCCGACGGCGACGCCAATTAGGACGGCCTCACCGGTAATATTTTCTGCTTCCTTTCTTCATTTTGAAGAATTCTCATATCTTTCTGTCTAGTAAGATTTGATTTCATCAATCTTTTTTTCCTCTATATGCTAAATAATTTTTTTAGTCGTTGCCAACTGCATAGGTAGCATTAGCTTTACAGAAAAGTAGTAACCATCACTCGTTTTTAACGCTAATTCTCTCTAGCCCTTAAGAGATAAGTCGAAATTCCAATCTGGGTATTTGAAAACTGGATTAAAATTTATGAATTTTGGCTTATTCAAATCTTTATGTGCATTGATGTTATTCATAAGTTTTAATACTTTTATTTTGTTTCTTGTAATTTAGGTGAACTCTGATTCTTAATTGAAGTTCAAAAAGGAAGAATGATCAAAGGCTTCAAATGCCATAACAAATTATTGTTGGGATGGACTGTATTGGTAAGAAGATCCTATTCAAGTGAACCAACAAGGGATGCTTTAGATACAGGCAAAAAAATATGTAAAATCATGATGTCTTCTTCTCCAGTGGTGCTCAATACGGCTCTTGATCAAAGTGGGCTAAGGGTTTCACCTGAAGTAGTGGAGGATGTTCTTAAGCGGTTTGAGAATGCCGGGATGCTGGCTTACAGATTTTTTGAGTGGGCAGAGAAGCAGCGGAATTATATGCATAGTATTAGGGCTTATCATACCATGATTGAATCATTGGCTAAGATTAGGCAGTATCAGATCATGTGGGATCTGGTGAATACAATGAGGAATAAAAGCATGTTGAATGTTGAGACATTTTGTATTATAATGAGAAGGTATGCGAGGGTTCAGAAGGTGGAGGAGGCGGTTTATACGTTTAATATCATGGAGAAGTATGATGTGCCACCAAATTTGGCAGCGTTTAATGGCTTACTAAGTACCCTGTGTAAGTCCAAGAATGTGAGAAAAGCGCAAGAGATTTTTGATAAAATGAAAGATCGATTTGTGCCAGACTCAAAAACTTATAGTATTTTGCTTGAAGGATGGGGTAGGGCTCCGAATTTGCCAAAGGCTAGGGAGATCTTCAGAGAAATGGTTGACATGGGTTGTGACCCTGATATTGTGACCTATGGTATAATGGTTGACATTCTCTGCAAGACAGGGAAGGTAGATGAAGCTATTGAGATTGTCAGGGAAATGGATTCTAATGGCTGCAGGCCAACCTCTTTTATTTATAGCGTCTTGGTCCATACTTATGGGATAGAAAACAGAATTGAAGATGCTGTTGACGCATTCCTAGACATGGAAAGAAATGGAATCAAGGCAGATGTGGTTGTGTATAATGCTCTGATTGGTGCATTTTGTAAAGTAAACAAATTAAAGAATGTGTATAGGGTCTTAAATGAGATGGATTCCAAGGGTGTGGTACCAAATGCAAGGACATGCAATATCATTCTCAACTGCTTGATAGGTCGTGGAGAGACTGATGAAGCTTTTAAGGTGTTCCGCAGGATGGTCAAAGAATGTGAACCAGATGCTGACACATATACAATAATGATAAAGATGTTCTGTGATAGAGATGAGTTAGACATGGCATTTAAAGTGTGGAAGTACATGAGGTTGAAGCAGTTTATCCCAAGCATGCACACATTTTCAGTTCTCATACATGGATTATGTGAGAAGGGCAATGCTGCTAAGGCTTGTATCTTACTGGAAGAGATGTTAGAAAAGGGGATTCAGCCCTCAGGTCTGACATTTGGGAGGTTAAGACAATTGCTTATAAAAGAAGGAAGAGAAGATGTACTCAAATTTCTTCAGGAGAAAATGAACCTCCTGATCAAGGAGCCTTTATATGATTGAAGAATTATGCCTTTTCAGCTGTTGATAATGCTGAGCATATGAAATTCAAATGTGTGATTACCACGTGATATTAAAAGGACCATATCAGTTTGTGCAGGTAATTTGTCTCTCTTTAATTTTCATCTAAAATGGTGACATCTTTTGGTTGTGACACATGTAAAAGAAAGAACACATGTGTACTTTTTTGTTTTCACTCTTGCCTTCTGATAAAATAATATCTGTTTTTTTTAAATAGAGGTCATGAAGAGGGTGGGGAGGAGTGCTGCTCCAGATATCAAAAGAAAGGGAACAGGTAAATATTGAAACAGTTTTGTGTATTACCTCTAAATCTTGAATTAGATGTTGAAATAAAAATTATTGGATGTGAAACTAACCTTGCGCCAAACCCCCCCAGGTCATAAGGAGTAGCCTTGCTTTTTTCCCTTTCTAGTTACAAGAAAATGTCTAACTAGATTGTTTGCTTGGAATAATGTTTTAGAAATTCAATTAATGTTTTCTTAAGAATGGTGATAGGTTAATGCTGGACAGTGTGCTAAAGTTCACTGTACGCTCATATGTTCATGGTAGAATTTAGTTACAGCATTTGAGGTTTTCGTGATTTGACAACCAATGTGGTTTTTAGTACTTCAAGGCCTAACGATAGTGATTTTTCTAACAGACACAAGTATTTTTGTGAAACTATTATATTTTGTTATTTAATTGTTTATACTTTACATTTATTTGAAGGTCTAAGCAATGAAATCTCTATGGAATGAAACAGATTGTCCCAGAAAACTCTGATATGCAGTTTAGACATATTGCAGCATTATATAGCGGCCAGCTGGAGGAGTTGCAAGCAAGTTTAGCTCGATTTCTTGTCTATACTCTATGGTAACTGATGAAATGGAGGAAGAGGATTGTAATTTGCCATTTGGCCTTTTGGGCGTTGTTATTGTAATCATGTAATGGTGAGTGCATGCTTGGGTTCCCAGGAGGTCAGGGGTTCTTTTAAGAGGCAAATAAAACAAATCAGCCCTTTTGGTGCAAAGATTTGATCAGTTCTTATGTTTTAGATGCTAAAAGAATCAGTTTTAAACTTGTTATAGGCAGTTAGGCAAGCAAAAGAATTTGTAAATGCTTTCTTGAATGATACTTGAGTGTAGTGACTTGGGTCATAGAGTTGTGGGACTTGTATCCTTGTGGATGCAGCCTGATTGTTTGATCTTTTGCCCATTTGGCAATGTCAATGGGAGTTGAGAAGAATTGAACTCACCCATCCGGCTGATTTATATTTAGTGAACTATCTTGCCTCTGCTATTAATTCTTTAAGATTATCGTTAATGGCATTACGATCTTACTTAAAGGTTCTTGCCGGCTTTTCCTTTTATTCTTTTCTTTGTTATCAGAACCAGTCCGTTGGTGAGAGACCACCGTGTTTCTTTTTCCTGTAGAACCAGTCTTCTTTAGAATCTCGAAGGTAACATCTGATTACCGATTTACACTTAAGAGCCTTGAGTTCTTCAACCTAACTTCACATTGCCCGTGCCAGCATGAACATGCACACCCATTTGCTTGATACAAACTGGAAATGACTGATACTTTGTTTTCATTAACTTCATTAATAAGAGCACTTCCGCAAGACTACTTTAGCTAGCAGTCTAGCACAAATGGCACCAAAGCAAAATGGACAAAGAAACACTAATGATGCTCAAAATTCTTCATTCAAAGGAAATAAAGGGTGACAAAGGGAATGGGGAGAAGATCTATGTCCCATCACCCTGTATAAGTCCTTGGAGACAATAACAAATGACAAGCAATTATGTCCTTAAGAAAATTTCTAAATTCACATCACTGATGGCTATTGATTGCATCTAGTCCTTATAGCACAAAGAGGTAACATTCCAATGAAATATTGTACTATGTTGAAAAGATATTATGCTTCAACTCAGTGCCTCTTTGTTTTTGATTCACTTTTAGAAAGCGTCACTCCTGAAATCTTGTTGATCTCATAAAGTAATCCAGCTGAGAACAAGAAACTGCATTGAACACAAGAATATGAAAACAGTCATTAGTATATAAATTTGCAAAACACAGTGCTGATTTGCCATTAGTTGTTCTAATTGATACAGATTATTTGTAAAACTTCTTTTCACAAACTGAAACCTTCATACCGAGCAAGCTGTAATTATTCCAACTCAAATAATTTTAGGTTTTTATGCTTAAATGGGCCCTTGTTCCACAGCATAGAACAAACTTTCGTGTTTGTGTTTGTGTAGCTATAAGCCTACAATTTGTCTCCATAAGGAAGTCGAAGTGTCAAATCCATCACCCCAGCTCTACAATGAAAGAGACATTTTCAACAAAAACTACCAGTTTCTATCTTACACTGGATAGCTTCTTAATTATACGTGGACTTGCTTAAACATTTTCTTCCTTCAACATAATCTAAACTTAAAAAACCATGCTGCTAATGGATTAAAAGGAATTTCTCATGACATGGTAGGAGCTTGCAATAAAAGATAATAAGTCACATCTTAACATTACCATGTTGTGATACAAACTCGGTGAACAGTGCTAGCAGCAATCAGTGCAACTGCTTCTGCTAATATGACTGCCCAAAAGAAAACAATGCGCAATTCAAGTTGAGTTCTTTACAAAACAACAAATACTTATAGCAGATAACGTAGTGCATTGGAAAATATGCTAGAACAAAGACAAAGCGCTAGTTATTAAGATGGATCCTTAAATTCCATTTTCCATGAAAGAATAAACCTGATTAATAGAAAATTAATAGTGGTTTCTTCCCATAAAAAAAAAATTTGATGTCAAGGTTTTCATGAACTTCAATAGCTGTTAACAACACAAGAAAATATTTTCTTACAAAAATTATGGCCTCCTAAGCTTCTTTCTACTGTTTAAATTTTCAGTAGCGAATCTCATGAAACGAGAATGCACAGCTTCATGTGCACAATCTTAATCATGGTGGCTCATACACACACATCTTTGATATGTGCATCGGATTGAGCAGCAAGGTATGCATGCTACATTTTCACCAGGGAAAGTGAAATGAGCAGAACACTATAAAAAGGTTAAAGGTTCATTTTCTCAGACCTTTAGATAATATCTCATCATAAATAATTAAGAAGAAAAGAAAAAGCCTCTGTAAACTCACCAGCACCCCATCCAGTCCTCATCCCACATGTTTCCTGGAAATTCCCAATGAACTGAAAGAACAAAAGGCAAGCAAATACAAATTATCACAGTAAATCAAGTTAAATAAGTCACACAATAGAATGCAATTCGGTTTTCATAGCTCAGCTCGTAATTAGTTGGGGTCTACAACATTGGCAAGTACATTATGTAATCAACCTAAAACCATAAATCAGAACATAAAACCGCGGGCTGCATTTCAGGGTGTGAAAATTAATAAGAAAAGGAGTCGATTTCTGGGCCTTTAGGACTCACCGTTAGTGATACAAGAAACAAGAGGGAGCTGATGAATCCTCCAAGGATTGTAAACAGTTCCGACGACGCTAACTTCCCTCTATACATCTCTTGGAGCGAGAGAATGACAGTAAATAGAAGAAACGAATACAGCATCGAACTCCCTGATCCTGCCATGGCCTACTCGTTGCATTAAAACAAACAACTTTCAGAAACACTCTCAGGAAATGTAATTAACAATCTGGAAACATAAAAAATTGAAATGTGGAATTTAGATAAACCCTTGATGAATCATAATCTTATCTATGTCGCAGTTCGGATCTCATTAAATAAAATTGGAAATCAGCTTCACAAACAGATCAAAATAAAAAAAAATTGAAGAAGTGCTAGTTATATATATCAAAAGAAATTTCAAAATTTCAAGGCCGCACCTTTTAAACCCTAGCTACGCCCGATCCCTCTCTGTTGCTCTGCCGAAGCTTCAAAATTTCAGAGAAAGACTAAAACAGGGAAGTAAAAATGCAAATTAAAAGCAACTAGTGAAAAGAAGTGTAATTATGGTATTAACTGAAAATTTCAGGGGTAAAAATGTCAAAAGGAAAGTCTTAGTCATAATGAAACGGTGCGTTTGAAGCACAACGTTTAAAAGGGACGAAGCTTTTCTACTTCCTCGGTCGGGTGATGGAGTCGCAGGAGTTACCGGAGTGTCCTGTGTGCTTGCAACCGTACGACGGCGTGTGTGCAATCCCGCGGGTGCTCGCGTGTGGCCACACGGTGTGCGAAACCTGCCTTGTAAACCTCCCCCAAAAGCTCCCGGGAGCAATCCGCTGCCCCGCGTGTACTGCGCTCGTCAAGTACCCTCCAGAGGGCCCCACGACTCTCCCCAAGAACATCGACCTCCTCAGACTCATCCCCGGGTCTGGAAGTACCCGGAAACACGTCAACAAATCCCCACATGACTCCCGTGTCCCTTTCCTCCCTCGGTCTTGGTCAGACGAGTTTTACTCCAATTGGAAAATCTACATTCTCCCTACCGACGCTGTTGAGAGACAAAAAGTAAGTCTTTTGGCTGTTGGGTCTTTTTCAAGTGGGGATGAGGGTGGTTCTGGGTTTACGGCTGGCTATTTTGTTAGAGTCATGGATTGTTTGAGTGGAATGAAGGAGGAGGAAAGAGAGGAGTTGGGTTTAGTTTTAAGTGCTTTTAATAAACAAAGTGGTAGAATTTGTAGGGTTTTGGGTTTATGGGGTGATCTTGGAGATGGGATTTTGTATATAGTGAGTGAGAAGCTAGAATATGGGAACTTTTTGGATAAAAACTTGGGTGGTTTTGAAAAGGATGGGTTTTTTAATTTTGCAATGATAGGTATGGAAATATGTGAGGCATTTATTGCTTTACATAAAGAAGGGTTAATTGCTGGTTGTTTAGGTTTTTCTTGCTTTCAGTTTGATGATTTTGGGCACGTATGTCTTAATTTGTGTGAGGTGTTATTGATTGGAAGGGAAGTTCTTGTAGTTGTTGCAAAGGTGGGTTCTAGCGGGAAAAAGATTGGTGATGGAGAAATTGTTTTGTTGATAAAAGATTTGTTTAAAAGGGATGTGTTTGTTAGCCCTGAGGTGTTGCTTGAGCTGTTGGAGAAAGAGGGTATTGTGGTAGAGTGTGGTAGCTCAAGATATTCAATAAGGTATAGCTCGGATGTCTGGTTGTTATGTTGTATTTTGCTTAGGATTCTCGTTGGGGAAGTTTTTAGTGATGAGTTGGTTGATTATATGTGTCATGTTATTGTGAAAGGAAGTGAAGATCGTGAATTGGATTGTTCAAGTGCTTACATGAGTTTGATGGAGAAAGTGAGCTCTTTGTTGGGAACTAAATTTGGTTCAGAATATGTGTCGTTGCAGCAGATTCTTTGTAAATGTTTGGAGTTTGATCCAAAAAATCGTTCACTTGTGAGAGATGTGTGGAAATTTATTAGGGAGCTGGTTATTAAACCTCAGTTTGATAAAATGGTCAAATTGGATGGAGCAAGTTATGATGAGAATAGAGGCCGATGCTTAGTTGTTGGAAAATTGTTTCTGTTGTCCAGGGAAAGAATTGAAATACAGGAAAAAGATGTGTCACAAGGAATGGAAACAAATGGTGCAGCAAATATGGTTATTGGTCTCACAGAGGGAAGCATTAAATCTAAAGATTTGCAAGGCCATCTTGATTGTGTTACAGGATTAGCTGTTGCAGGTATAACTTCTTTTGTCTCTGTCTTTGACATATGTGCTTCATTTTGGTACTTTTTAATGCTACCTGACAATTTATCATAGATGTTTGTTGAGTTTATGGTAAGAAATTGCAACATATTGCTGAAACTTAGAGTTCAATGTATCTTTGTTATTTGTGCCATCTTTCTTAATTTTCAAGAATCAGAGCCTAAGTGGTTCCTAGAAATTGCTTCAATTCTGAGTAATGGTAAAAAATGGGACATTTCCATGCTATCAATGGAATTAAAGGAATCTCTCCTACCCAAATGATGGAACGGCTTCTTAGTAGTTGATACTGTGGTATGGCTTCTGTATTTATGAACTTTACAAGCCTAAGGTCTTTAAATCCATGTGCATTCAAAATTTTTAACTTCGCATTTGCTGTTGCATAGTTGCTAAGGGAAATGTAAGCACAGTTACTAATTACTTGCATCACAAGGATCTTTTGTTATGGGGTGGGCGAGTGTGTTGTGGCCCCTTGGGGTTTGGGGTGGGGGTGGGTGTTGTGGATTTGCTACATCAAAAAACATAATTTCTTCCTTTGCACAAGTGCTTGATATATGATGTTCCTCTCATTGTCCCCTCTTCTCATGGATGCACCATGATCCTTGGAATAACTCTTGGAACCTTAAATTGAATGGTATTTGGTTAAACTATGTTGTTTTCCCTGTTTATTTCTCTTTTCAATGTTGATGGTTTTTCAGATCTTCCTCACACAGATAGTTTGAAATGAGGTTTTGAGTCTTAGGTAATTTAGGAGCTGTGTTCTGATTTTTTTTTTTCCCTTCTGTTGTAGGTGGTTATCTGTTTAGCTCCTCCTTTGATAAATCAGTCAAAGTATGGTCTCTGCAGGTATTCTCTCTTAATTCACCATTTATTCAAGTGGCTCTACTTGTATGGTTAAAATTCAACATTACTCTGTACTTGTAATTTTTCCGTGAGTAATTTAACTTGGATTATTGGCTCCTTTTGAATCAGTTCCTTCCTGCATCTTTTTACAGGACTACTCTCATTTGCATACATTTAGAGGCCATGAGCATAAAGTCATGGCTGTTGTCTGTGTGGATGAAGAACAGCCATTATGCATTAGTGGTGATAGTGGTGGTGGTATATTTGTATGGAGCATTAGTACCCCTTTTGCACAAGAGCCATTGAAAAAATGGTACGAGGAAAAGGATTGGCGTTACAGTGGAATTCATGCTTTGGCAATTTCAGAGATTGGATATTTATATACTGGAAGTGGAGATAAATTGATTAAAGAATGGTCACTGCGGGTATCTTCTTTAATTTACAGTGATCTGCACTGCTTATGTCTTCTCCTTGTGAAATGTTAGATGGTCATGCAGAACCTTGCTTTGCTGTTTATTCCAGGATGGCACCTTTTCATGCTCTATGAGTGGCCATAAATCTGTAGTTTCCACGCTAGCAGTGAGTAATGGAGTTCTTTACAGTGGGAGTTGGGATGGAACTGTTCGATTATGGAGTCTAAGTGATCACAGTCTTTTGACAGTTTTAGGGGAAGACACACTGGGATCTGTGACCACTGTCTTGTCTCTTGCAGCTGACATGAATACGCTTGTTGCTACTTACGAAAATGGATCTGTTAAGGTTCTTTGTTCTTCAAACTGCTCTTGAATTGGTCTTGGTTTGTATTCTTATGTGCATTTACATTTTTCATGGAAATGAATTGATGTCACATTGCAGTCATGGCTTGTCATAGAATAACATTGTACCAAATGATAGTTGATAGAATGATGCCAATATCCACATCCTGAAACTACCTTGCACGAATGCTAAAAGTCTTATTTGAATGCTTTGTCATCAAATGTATTATAAATTGTGAAACAAAAGGAAACATTTATCTTATAAGAAACTCTAGGGTGGAATATATAAACTTGCAAAGTTGCAATGGGGTGTTGCTATTAGCTTGTCATCTCCATGTGAAAAGGCCAAATGCAGATTGCTGTTCTCCCCTTCCCCACCCCTTCTTTCCTTTTCCATGTATTTTCTTGAGTCTGTTTCCATCCTTTCTGCCTCTTTTCAGATCTGGAGGGATGATGTATTTAGGAAATCTATACAAATACACAATGGTGCCATTTTTACTATTTGCTTGGAGGGGAAGTGGCTTTTTACAGGAAGTTGGGACAGGACCATCAAGGCACAGGTTTGAACACAGCCTGTCATTGTATTTGTTTAGACTTCACTAATTGATCCTTGTGTGCCTCTGAATTAGGCAGCTTTGATGGGGATATTAACCTATGTAAACTTTATTCTATTATTACATTTACATCTAAGTTTGTTTTTACTTCATGTTTTATTTTAAATTTGTTGAATTGATTGGTGCAGATTCTTTTTAATTTATGTTTATATTTACAATATCATTAATGTAATTGAGTTGCAGGAATTAGCTGGAGATGATTTTCAGGTGGACCTTAGACCTATTGGATCAATTCCTTGTGATTCTGTCATAACAGCTTTATCATATTGGGAAGGGAAGCTTTTTGTAGGTTTTGGTGATAGGACTGTTAAGGTATGTACATCTTTTTGTATATTTTCATGAGGATTTCTCCTTCTGTAGCATTGATTGGGAGATGACAGTCCAATGTGTATTTTACACAAATAACCGCTTGGTTGTTTTGAAGTATGAGTTTTTAACTCAAGAGAGACTCCCCTGTTTCTGTTAGTAGGCTTTAATCTACGCACGCGTGTATAAACCAAGAATGAAAAGGAAATTTGCTGGTTTTATGTTTCTGATTACCGTCTTTTGTTTCTTTTCCTTCCAACAATGGATGAATTGCTGGATCAGTTAACATTGATCTGATTATGCAGGTATACTATTATGGGAAGTGATCAAAGTCTCATTGGGATTGCTGTTGTTCTCTGCTCTATAATCTTGGTTAAGCACTTAGCAAAACCTTGATTTTCAGGACCAAGAGGTTTCTACGATGAACTTTGTACAGAAAAATATACCAATACATGCATACGGGGAACTGGTGGCTATTCACTCTCAACACATGTATATCTGTTGGTGTCAGTGGACCAATTTGTAGATTGTAGAACCTGTAGTGCTCAAGTTGTTATATCACAAGCCAGGATAACTAAAATTAGCAAATACATGGATTGACCCCTTTTTTCCGATTGTTATATTTGGGAAGCAAGGCTTTGCGTTGCAATGTGTGAAATACAATGTAAATATTTATATAAGGAAATAAAAGATTATTACAAAAAAACAGAGAGAATTCAAGAATGTTAAATGTTCTTTTGGCCTAAAATTATTATTATTTCTTTTACGGTTATTACTATTATTATTTCTTTTATGGCCTAAAATTCAATGAATAATATTGTCATTGAGAAAGAAAATGAATTTATTGAATAAAAATTTGCATTGACTCAAAATTGCTTCATGTTGCACTGTCTTTCTCTTTTAAAAACATATCAATATAATTATGTTATTTTCAATTAATTGAAGGTAAGTTAAAGGAAATTGGTAAGTTAAATATGTAAAAAAAAACAGGATTTTAATTGAATAAAACAAATAAAGGTTTCTTATTTAGCAAGTAAATGCATAACAACATTAGAATAAAAAGTAATAAAATAAGAGAAAATTGTTCTAGCAAATACATATACTTTGTTTATCTTGTCAAATATGGTAAATATTCGAGATGAATGACTTTTTTATTTAATTTTGACTTTTTATATTAATGATCAAATTAATCCTAATTAATTCATAGAAGGTAAAACTATTGGATATTTAAAATAATTTAGCTACAATAAATTATTTTTAAATTAAAACTGTATCAAGTCAAATAAAACACATTAATAATGGACAAATTGTTTTAAGTTAGGCTAGAATGTTTTTTTTTGACAAATATTTACATTAGATCAAGAAAATAAGATATGAAAGGAAACAAATGGTATGGCATTGATGTAAATAAACAGAAAAAAGTACTTTTTGGCGGGGAACATGGAAATCCTAAAAGCAATTTATTTATAGTTCGTTTCCTTTTTTTCATCGCTTGGCTTCTAATGAAGGAAAGGTGGTCTCAAAGCTTAAAATGCAAGAAGAAAACTCCAGCCAAATGATTTCATAGCTCATAGGATAAGCCAACGGCAACAAACAACTTCCCAAATGGCCACATTGCCTTCTCTTCTCAACGCTTCTTTCCTCACCCAAAAGCCCCTCCCTCAACGGAAAACCCTCCCTTGTACAAAACCCACCACCTCTTTCCTCTTCCCTTCCTCTTCTCCTTCTTTCTTCAGCCTTCGACGACAACATATTAATAGACAAGCGCCTATAGCTGCATCTCTCAAGGTCCCATTTTGTGTCTCATCTTTTTTTACTGTTCTCAATTGCTGACCAGCTGTTTGATTTTTTGTTTGCGTGGAGTTGCTGTTCAATTTTGATGCTCTCTTGTTTTGTTTCAGGAGGACTTGGGTCGTTTTAAGAAGACTTTGGGTGATTTTATTAGCTTAAACTACTGGGTTGTTCGAGATTATTTTCGTCTTGTCGACTCTGTTAATGTACTGGAGCCAGAGATTCAGAGGCTATCTGATGAGCAGGTTGGTCAGCTTGTTTACAATCGATTACTCGCATTTTTGTTTGGGTCATTGGAATAATGGTCGTGCTTGTTCTTGTAGCTGACTGCTAAAACTTCTGAGTTTAAGAAAAGGTTGAGTCAAGGGGATAGTCTTTCTGATATTCAAGCGGGTTAGTTTTTATTAATGCTTCTGTTCAAGAGGGATGAAATTATGGAAATTTATATGAAAATTAATGCTCCTTTTATTGTTGGTTTTACAGAGGCATTTGCTGTTGTTCGGGAAGCTGCAAGAAGGAAGCTTGGCATGCGCCATTTTGATGTGCAGGTCTTGATCTTTTTATGCTTACAGACAACAGCATGTGTGGCTTAATGCTTGCATGGATACTGTGTGATCATGCACCTATGATTATGTAACTGTATACAAGTATATTTGTTATTCATTTGAAGTTAGGTAATATTGTATAAGTTTTTTAATGGTAGATTATTGGTGGAGCGGTACTTCATGATGGGTCCATTGCTGAGATGAAAACAGGGGAGGGAAAAACATTGGTTTCCACATTAGCTGCTTATCTTAATGCACTGACTGGTGATGGTGTCCATGGTAGGCTTTGTATCCTGGCCTTTTTTTGGGGAAAAATTTATTATAAAGATGTTATTCTTTATGGTTTCTGTGATGTTGAAATAAATTTGAAATGAGATACTTGTTCAAACATTTGCATATGAATATCAGATATTCGTTTTAAGATAAAAGTTTCGAGATATAAGGATTATAAAATGTTTAGCATAAGGGACAGCATTGTTGATCTGATTTTACCTCTAACTATATTCTCAGCAGTCCTTTGAATTCCCTTTTATTGCAGTGATAATCTGGTTACGACATGTTACTCTTTCATAAGCTCTTGTTGACCAAATGGTAATGCATAATTTTCACTTAAATTTGACATTGTTGCTTTTGCCATTAACAGTTGTAACTGTGAATGATTACCTTGCTCAACGTGATGCTGAGTGGATGGGTCGAGTTCATCGCTTCTTAGGTCTTTCGGTTGGGCTTATTCAGGTATTTGTTACTGAGAGTTGCAATGCTCTAGAAAGTGTCATAATAATATATTCTCACAGACATGTACTTGGGTCAACCACCAGATGTTTTATTTTATTTATGCAAGAGAAACAAATCTCTATAACCATTGATATACTTATATACTCCAAATTATAATAGTCTTCCCCATTTTTGATTACATATATAGAAGGGGATGACAGCTGAAGAGAGGAGAATCAACTACCAATGCGATATAACATACACCAACAACTCGGTAAGTGTTCCTTTAGAGTGGTGTAATTGGATGTTGACTACCACATATGCATTTTCTCTTCCCCCCTCCCCCCTCCTTCTCTTTCCCCTGCCCTTCTGTATGTCTTGTTTCTCATACCATTGTTTTTGAACGTTGTTAGGAACTAGGCTTTGATTATCTTCGGGATAATCTTGCTGGAAATAGTGATCAACTTGTGATGAGATGGTATGTGTCAGAGTCCTATTTCAATTCGGTCTTTGATTTATTTTATTGGACTACTAGCAATAAACTGTGCAAAAACAGGCCAAAACCATTTCATTTTGCAATTGTTGATGAAGTTGATTCCGTTCTCATTGATGAAGGAAGAAATCCTTTGTTAATAAGTGGTGAGGTAATATAAAACTAGCCTTTCTTCGTTGATTAACTGTTTTTTGGGGTTCTGTGTGTAATACTACATTTTTAGAATCACAAAATTGGTTGGGAGCTATTTTTAGAAAATGTTTAACAGATTGCCTGTGAAAAGTTCTGAAACATTGAGACAAAGTCTCAAAGTTGTAGAAATAGCTTGTAATAGCCCCTTGCCTTTTCTCTGTTGTGTTCTAGGCTAGTAAAGACGCTGCGCGTTATCCGGTTGCTGCTAAAGTGGCTGAGCTGCTAACAAGGGGTCTGGTGAGTTCAGTTGTTTGTCTTCATCTTTTGTTAAACCATAATATTTTGTTGCTATGCAGCTGGCATTGTAAGCTTGTACAGTTATTTTACAGAAAGGTAATAATTAAAGTAGTTTCTCTTTAATAAATTTTGTTAACAGCATTATAATATTGAGCTTAAAGATAATTCAGTGGAGTTGACTGAAGAAGGAATTGCACTTGCTGAGTTGGCTCTTGAAACGAATGATCTGTGGGATGAAAATGATCCCTGGGCAAGGTGAATAGTTTCCCTTTTCCCGTTGTTGTCATTCTTTAATTTCCTTGTTACAGATGATGGATACTATTGAGGGTATAAGCAATATGTCCTTTACACTTTTTGTTCCAAATATCCGTTTCTCTGTCGGCAACTTCTCACAGTTTTATTTCAACTCTTCACTAACACATGATGCTTTTAAAAGGCCCCAAAAGAAAATGTTTGACCAAATGCAAAATGATTTCTTTCTTTCATTCATTGTATATTAGAACTTTTCTGGGCTGAATTTGTAACCAAGTACCCGGCTACTGTGTTGCTGGTGGTTGAATAAGATCCATTGCACAACACGATACATGTCTCATGTTATGCTTTTTTCCTTTATGTTTTACTTGGTGGTTAAATTTTATATTGTTGCAGATTTGTGATGAATGCTTTGAAAGCTAAAGAATTTTATCGGCGAGATGTCCAATACATTGTCAGAAATGGGAAAGCTCTCATTATCAATGAGGTGTTTGTGTAGTATTTTTGATGTTTCAGCGTCTTTGTTGCAGTACCAGTCCCTTCTTTTATTTCATTTATGTAATATTTTGCTTATCCATTACTCTACCATGATTGTATGTAATTACCGGAAAGAAGTTTCCTGCAAACCGTCTAGCTGGCCTGTGCTAGCTCAAGCTGGCAGGCGAAAGACAAACCATTTTACGTTTTTCAGCCAAAACATGATGATCACTGCACTAAACAACGGTGGTAAGAGTTAGAACTGCAGGGGTGCAATTACCAGTAGAATGGGATTTCTGCTTTTTAAAATTGAGCTCTTTATTGATAGCACAATTCAATTACTTAATTACTTAGCTTTAATTATGGCAGATGGTTACCAAAATCTCAAATTGTAAAGTCCAATGTCTATTAATATATAACAAACATTACTAGGTGCAAAGTTGATTTCTTTATGTCGTAAAGACATCTTGGTTTCATTAAACCTTGTTGAGGTAGAACATTATCATGTCTTATAGATTGATGACTAAAGCTTGGAAAAGGATAAGGATTTTATTGCTATTGGTGTTTCATTTAATTTGCAAGTTTAAGTATATAACTTTTGTTTTTTTGATGGCAATGAAACATTTATGAAACCCTGCAGCTGACAGGCAGAGTTGAGGAGAAACGGAGATGGTCTGAAGGAATTCACCAGGCTGTAGAAGCAAAAGAAGGTCTGAAGATTCAGGTAGATAATGATGTCTGCAAAGTGTTGTCTTAACTTTGTCTTGACCTATATCAAATATAAATCTTATTCGTCTATTCAAAGTTGTTACTTTTCTATACTTGTTAGGCTGATTCAGTTGTTGTGGCTCAAATCACCTACCAATCACTATTTAAGCTCTATCCAAAGCTTTCAGGGATGACTGGGACTGCAAAAACTGAAGTAAGGATGGATTTGTACACCATATT